ATGATGACTTCCACTCAGCTGGTTCTCGAAATGTCAGTCACCACAACCAAAAACAGTCCTTCTCAGGACTACACTCAACCAAACAATTAAACTGCACTATTACATTTTTGGGTAATTTCAAAAAAAATTAATCACTTGTAATTTCTTCAAATTGCACTCCAAATCATATGATTACCTGTACTAAGTGATAAAAAATAATGTGCATTATAAGTAACTTACTGCTGAACAGCCCTCTGTAACACATTCAGAGATCCATGTGACCTTAACAGAGACAAAATAAGTTACTCATTAGAAACTGTGTGTTGTCCAAATTTTAAAGAAGTGTATTAGACAAAGGGTGGGGCATGCAATGGTGGGGTGTACTTCTCTCAAAGTGCAGCAACACAGACTGCCATACACATTGCATCCACAGCACAAGCTATTTCATACTATCATCTTAAAATAATTAGAAAATGTTGCTGAGTAAGAAGAGAATTAGAGCGGTTAAGTATTTGGGTTCTATGTTCCTACTGTAATTCACGCGAGTAAGCGTGGTACTTAGCAGATATCGAGCCACAGGAAACACAATTTAAAGAGGCAATTGATGAATACTTATCCATTGACAAACCATTCAAACAAAACATGATGTAACCGTATCCGTGAATCACCACCCGCGAGAAAAAAGGGTAACGAAATTTAAAAATTCTAAGATATCACTTAGCTTTTCTTTGTCGATCAATTGCATTACAATATCACGCCTAGCTGATAATTCGCTAAAAGCCGATGGTCTGTTAAAGCGATTTTAGGGAGGATTATTTCGTCAAAGTTGCACTCCCGTGCTATATCTGTTTTCCTTATGCTCCCCAATCAAAATAGAGAATAGATATCAACTACTTTACAGATCAAAAGGGGTTTGAAATTATCATCCAAAACTATTTGATTTTTCATTACAATGATGAAACAATATGATAAACATGAATGCCATGGCTAAATTAAGCTACCATTCCTTATCACATTTGTGTTATACAACACTTCTTCAATTTTCAAAAAAAATACAAATTAAAGATGAATTCCAGCTTAACTTTATAAGAAAATATTTCAGCAGAAGAAAAGATGAAAATTAAAACATAAGGGAGTAGACGAGAAATCAACATTTGCATAATAATGATCCATGGATGAACTTTGGTTTTTCGATCGTATGTCGCCATATGCACGAGAGATATTAATAATCTTTAATCCAAAATCCATTATTACTTACTAATTGTGCCCATTAAACAGTGAGAAAAGACGAGAAGGGCTTAAATCTTTAGCTGCGTTAAAATAGAATGCAAGCGCTTAACTTTAAATGCAAATTTTGGAGTTGATGTACAAACAAACACTGCTATTCATGTCCTGCATAAGTTCAAACGCTTTAGACGCTACAAAATAGCCTTATTCGGAGTCGATACCTTTTTTCATTCTACGGTCTTCTTGGATTGTTCTCTTTGAAGTTACTCTCCCCATTGAAAAATTATGGGTTTGTATTAATTTTTAGACAAATTTGCTTACATCTACACACGTTCCTAAACATGTCAACTATTCTCCGGTAAAAGTTTGCAACTTTTCACTTGAGTACACGGTTTTTTTGGTACGACATGCTTTTCCTTAACTGCATCTTAGAACACTTAGAGAAACAATCCCTTAAATTAGTGCATGAAGAAAGTCATAAGCTGCAAGTAAAACAAGTATACTTACATTGAGATGTGTTTCGATCTCCTGCTGAATACATTTCCACGCAGTTACGATGACGCGCGAAAGACCACGGAAGAAAAAAAACAACATGAGTATAAGAAATAAGGCGCTTGCTGAAATTATAGGAAGTTCAAAACAAAACTTTGTCACCTGCAACATTAATGACCTAAGTACTCTCGTTACAAGATCGCAACCTGTCAAAGATTTCACCGACAGGTTCATAACACACTTGGGAAAATTCGCGGATCGCTGAGTACAAACCTTTGCAAGGCAGCGACTTCTGCATCGCGCCGACAGCACAGAAGCCAAACTTTTCTTGTGTTGTAAATGCAAAATGAAGAATCCAACAAGTATAATAGCGTAATGATTCATAGAAGTTAGAGGAAAAGTGAACTTAAAAGAAGAAATGAGGTGCTGAAAATTCCAGTTTGAAAGGGTGAGAACGATTAGCAACAAATTAGCATAAGAGAAACCCGGATTAATGCGAGTGTAACACGTGCTACTTCGAGAAAGTGAAATCAGAGGGTGTAACTGAACGGTAAACTTAAAGAGAATTAAAAATTCGATCAAGTGCACTATTCTTCACGATCCAGATTAGTAAGATATCTGACCGACTGATTTGTGAACCAAACGGTACAAAGCGCGTGTATTTTTTTAAATTTTTTTTTTTTTTTACATACAGAAGAAAGGAGCTGTTAAAGAAAAAATGTTGTGGGCAATACCGAGCTTCGTTGCGCACTTACGTAGATGGAGTAGCAAGAGAGATAGCCTCACATTTCGCAGTCCTGTACACAAATCCTACCTAGATTTACTCGTTCTGATGAGCAAACCAGAGTCCCTTTAGAATTTTGTGGCTTCTTCAAACTATTAATTCAATCAATTATCCATTCGGGATATTTGAAGTGTTACAAGTTGCTCTCCGTTTTAAAAGCAATTAATGGAAGTAGATCATATGTGAAAGTCTCTTAACTTCAGCAAAAGCGATTTCGTGAACAAACATTACTTTGTCTAATTTCATACTCTGCAATATGTAAATAAATGTTAGTTTTCAGGAGATGGCACCATTGTTCTTGAATTTTATCACACCGTGAAAGAACACAACGCAATATTTTACGGGCACGTTCCAGCGAGATTTCAACAGGACAAAGATTACATTTGAGGTTACTCTACTTATAGTGCTGTTTCGTTTCTTTACCCCTATGGTAGCTTGTTGACCATTCTTACTTCTTCGACAATTCTCTCAACAGTGAAAAGATGCTCAAATAATCAAATCCCAAAACAAATCCGCGATTTCTTAGGAAACCAGATCACGATCAGGACTCTTGTCGGAAGGACCGGCGTGCGGTCTGATATTCATCTTCTTCGGTGTTGTCATATTTAGAAATAAGGTTCTAAATCGGGCACATAAACATGCCCCACTTTCCACTTGACTGACAACGCAAAATGTCGATTTTAGATAAAAAGCTGACATTGCCCGCAGATATTGCAAAGGGACATCACCTATTTGTTCCATCCGAATTCTCGTCTCCCTATTTTCAATTTCCTCTGGGCAATCCTATAGTACATGATAAAAAAAGGTTTTGAACAATCGGAGCGAGCTCTGTTTACAGATGCTTTGAGAGAGAAAAGAAAATGTATCACTCTTAATCCATTGGAGAACCCTTAAGTTATCCGGTCAACAGAGGATGTCACGTGATCTATCAATTCAGGTAGTTGGGTGCTACCTGGTCCTAACTGTCAATAGAAGTCCAAAAGCCGTAGAAGTCACGAGTATAAATCGAATTTCTGTCCGGCATTTTCATAAAAAAAAGTAATCTCAGGAGTTATGCAGGCGGTCGATGCAATAACTCTGTTCAGACTAACTTATAACACTTGACTACTGCCTTTAATTTACCTGTATTTTTAACAGATAGAACTGATAAAATTAAACCTCTGGAGAGGCTATATCTTTCTCTTTGATGTTGTTAGGGTAACGTTTAATTGAAAATATGATTTTGGTAGCCATGGATAGATTGTGTTGATAAACAAACACAAAGTAATATAGAACGCAAACCATGGTAACAGAATTCCTCAGTCTTAACAATGGCTGTGAAGCTAGGCGAGGGAGGTGCTCAAAACTTACTACATTCTACATCATTCTATGAGCAATATTCTGCCCGGAAATGATACTCGCCTGGTGCCGAACTTTTGATAAGGTGCACGTACGCTTCATCATAAATTAACTATAAGACTGAACAGACAACAATCAATATGTTCACAGATTTCCTTACGAAACTCAACCAGGGTCGTGAAGGGCTGAAATGAGCATCGATCTCTTCCTCGCTGAGCCGGCTCAGAGTCAGCTCTCTAACAGCCACAACTTACGCTCATATCTTTTTCTTTCCCTTAAAACAAGTAGCTTGCTAAGCTGTTTGTCTGATAATTAATTTATCTATCTATTTTTTAAATTCACTCATTTATTTACTTAGTGTGTTGTTTGGTTGAAGTAGTCGTTATACCTTAAATTCTCTTTTCTCAATCGAGATGCAGTTAATAACAAACAAAATGATATTACAAGACGTAGAAGTCTACAGTGACAGTGAGTGTTGTACACACTTGATGATCGTTTTTCAATTGCAGCGCATATAATCAACCAGGAGAACAAACGTGTTCCTGGAAGGCTATGTAGAATAAAGCAACGAGAGAGAACAAAAAAAACAATCCTACACAAACGTATAACATGTTTAGAATATTTGCACCTGCCGATCGTATTTTGGGAATAGAAAGGGAAATCTCTCGCCAGCAATTAGTAGTGATAAATGAAAACGTGCAACAGGAAATAGATTCTTGACAAACACGAACTAAAGTGTGAATGTCAAATGCACCTGTAAAATCAAGTCATACAAAACTGAACCCACTAGAACATGGAAAGTAAAGATTAAATGAATGTGAATATTTGAAAATCATATATGTGAACTGTGGAAAAAGAAGTGAATATGAAAGCGATCTTCGCAGCAATGAACACTACTTGAGCAGTAGTGAAAATAAGGCCTGAAAAAAAATTCAGGCCTGTACGGAATTTGAACCCATGACCTCTGCGATACCAGTGCAATGCTCTACTAACTGAGCTAACAAGCCAACTGGGAGCTGGTCATTATGTTGGTTTCAAATAGAGGTGATAAGTAAGTGACTGTGAATATATAACAATATTTTTAGGCCTTGTTTTCACTACTGCTCAAGTGGTGTTCATTGCAAGATCGCTTTCATACTTAACGTCAAGAATGTTAACACATCCATAGAACAACGTCCAGTTCAGCATCCAGTTGGAATTTTATTATAAAGCAAAGTGTTAAAAAGCGTTTTTACAACACCGTTAAAATGTTCATCTCTCACTGAACAGAAATAGCCAACGACAAATCTACGTATACCCTGTTTCGAGTTCGACGCGGCATTGCTTTATGAGACAATCATGTGACGGAATGTAAGTTTGAAATTTCAAGAGGCTATTAAAAACATACTGCTGTTTTTCTAGCAACTACGTTAAAACTTACTCAGCTTCTAACATAGCCTTATGCCACATCACACTAAACATAAGCTTATGTTGTGCAAAAAATATAAAGAGCATCAAACTCAGAACGCTTTCAGTAATACGCGCTAGAATTTTTTTTTGGCTAAGAAGCTTCTTCGTTTCCGAACATTGTGGTAGTTTTCCAGAATGTACTGTTGTTCACACGTGTGTATATTTACTTCAGTAGTTTTACAGCAACACGACTGACCACCATGCTAAGATCAATTCTGGTTGGGAATTAACCTCCAAATGAGCGCACAACAGTCCTTCAATGTCTCCCATTCCCTGCTATTATCTAGTCTGACTAATTTGGATTCGTGATTGACAAAGTATTCTTTCGTAAAGCCCCCTACATGTAAGTCTCTCTTTGTGCGGTGTATTCAAGCTGAGGGGTTCTGTGCGTCCTAATGTTCTTCGGTTTAATTTTGAAAGGCTTGTCAGCTTGTGAAGATCTCGTTATGGAGTCTTGCCTGTAAACAAATTTTCCTTTACTTGTTGGCACCGGCTGACGAAGAAGCTGAGTGTTCTGTTGAAGAAGCGGAAACTTGTTAATATACATTTTGTTAAGCGGAGTACGGCTGATCATATTAAAGTGAACCAGTAGGCGGGATGACAAAAATGCTTAGCATCAGGTGCGCGGTAGAATGTGAAGAGTTTCAATTTTTAACAATAGTCCACACTTTCTATCGGTCTACTGGCGTAATAACATACGCAGGATGTTGGGAGAACACGAGAAAAATCACGAGCTGGAAACCGATAGAAAGCGCGGTTCATTGTTTTCTAACTGAGAAAATAACTATGGGTTCAGTGACTGTAAATATATGAAGATCATATCTGTGCACTGCGGTAGAAGAAACGAAAATAAGCGATCCTCGCAGTTATGAACACTACTGAACTAGTAGTTGAAATAAGGCCTGAAAAAAATTTTCAGACCCGTACGGGATTTGAACCCATGACCTCTGCGATACCGGTGCAGCGCTCTACAAACTACTAGTTCAATAGTGTTCGTAACTGCGAGGATCGCTTATATTCATGTATTCTACCACAGCGCACATGATTTTCATATATTTACAGGCATTATTCACCACTTGAAAGGTTTAATTGAATCCAACATATTGAATAACTCCCACTTGGCTTGTTAGCTCAGTTGGTAGAGCGCTGCACCGGTATCGCACAGGTCATGAGTTCAAATCCCGTACGGGCCTGAATTTTTTTTCCTTAGGCCTTGTTTCAACTACTAGTTCAGTAGTGCTCATAACTGCGAGGACCGCTTACATTCGTTTCTTCTACCGCAGCACACTTTTATGATTTTCATACATTTACAATTAGTATTCACCTCTAGGTAGGTTAATTTGGATCCAACTGAATGAAAAGCGCTCCGTTGTCTTATTAGCTCAGTTGGTAGAGCGCTGCACCGGTATCGCAAAGGATCGTCATGGGTTCAAATCCCATACTGAATTTTTTTTTTCAGGCCTTATTTCAACTACTAGTTAAGCGAGGATCGCTTATATTAGTAACTATGGGTTTGCCGGTGCAATAAAAGAGAGGTTCTTGGCCAATCAGGGCGCTCGAAGTATCTCGATTATTTTGCGATATGTGATAGAAGCAACGCCATACCCAGGTTATATTTTCTCGAAGCTGGTCCTGCGCTTCGTGTTATGACCCAGAAAACAAGTTTCGTTTTCATTTAGGATGGATGGCAGTTTGCCCCTCGTATATTGACCAAAGCTTCAAGATTGTTAGAGAAAATAGTACTGACATGATAGGGTTTCTATCACACTGACTGACAAACTTTGGTACACAGCACCATTTGAATCTGAATCACCGCTGTACACCGACATTTCCATGACTGGAGAAACCTCACCGAGTGTTAAAAATCAGTTATAGTTCGAAAGTAATTTTTTGATCACGCGCATTTCTTTTCCAATGTTTGAGAAGATTTATTTGTTTCTTTTGTATTACTATTCAAGGGACTGAACAAACTATAGAGCGTATGAATTGAGACGAGGGAGAAATGGAGACATGTATTTGTATACCTTGGGGTCTCTCCATTCCGCTTCTAACGATTCTCTCTTGTCATGCTTCCTGTCCTACAACACGAGTTTGGAGATAAAATAGGACAAGTGTAAAAACAAACATCACGCCAAACACACAGGATTACACAACATAAATATCACATTAGTTAAGAGAAGAAACACTTCAGTAAAATCGTAACGGTTTTTTGCCTTTACATCTCCTCGCTGAGCATGTTGAGAAGAAAGTGATTGTTAATCGAGGGTCAGTGCACTCGATGAATCTTACACAAAATAGACAGCGATGTCAATTTGTACGCCAGTGGATAGCGTCGAAGGCGCGCTCTGATTGGCTACTCAAACTCCGAATATCCCCTGCTATTCACCTTCGAGCAACTCGGGCGAGATTTGCACCCGAAAATATCGCAATCGTTGTAGGAATAAATTATGATCATCTTTTTGTGCTGTTTTCATCTCACTGTTCTAGTAAATACTAAAACGACTATTCACCTCCAGCTACCTCCATTTTGGTGAATATTTATTAATTAATCACTACTCAGAGGCCAGCTTTTGCTGTTAGTATTCATCGATTTCAAACTCCACTAGCTCCGTCCTCCTACATGTAGTAGATCACAGTCTGATTTTCCTACTCCTTACAACAGTATTTTTAAATTCCAGTATAAGTTTATGGCATTTGTTGTAACAGGTAATGCAAACAGGGGTTTAGGAAAATAAAGCCAACCAGAGTGAGAAAAGCCCGATACACGTGGCCGTCTGTAGACTAGTTCTAATTCACTTACAATTCGATTAACATAACAACTGGCGGGAACCCAAATCAGTAATGAGAACACCACAACTGTCCCAGCCAGATTGTCCTTCATGAACTGAGCGACTGTATTACTGTCCAGGGTGGTTATAAATGTCCAAAATCTCTCTACAAGATCTTGACTTAATTTCTCACATTTGCCCTGATAAAAACAAACAAACAAAATTGAGTGAATGTCACCTGTCAGTATCACGTGGATAGCACATACCCTTTGCGAAGAGGATGCCCGAATTTTTCTCATAAAAATTCCACTATCTGATCAAGTGTTGTTTAAAAATTAAATACCATTCGCCACGTAAGTTAGCCTGCAGAGCAGGCGTAATTTCGGCGAACGAGTGATCAGTATTTTCTAAACGAAAATTATGGCCGCCATCTTTGATTTTGATGGCAGCGGAAGGCTGGAGATAGAAAGAAATTTTTTACCTAGGGGGCGGTCGACGGTCAAAATAAGGAGAGGGTAGGGGTGGGGAAGTGAAGAGTCTTCTCGCCCTTACCCCGCCCCCTACCCCCACCGTCCACCCTCACTTCAAATCAAACATGGCTGGTGGGATAAATGATCGTGAGCTTGTGACGTTAGCTATAATAAGACGACTGCACTGCAGGCTATACTCAAGTAAGTAAGTCACCTTGACACAGGTGCCCTGCTGACCCTCCCCCTGACAGGATCGCCCATCAAGGATGTCCAATGTTGAACCAGTATCGTTGTCTCTATGAGGAGCACAAATTCCATTGCTTCCCTGACAGCAAACTTTACAGGAATCATCCACACCGGAACATTTACATGGCTTCAGATTAAGGGCTTCACAGAAAGGTTTACACACTCCATTTCGGCATGTCCCACTGAAAATATTCAACAACTCACTTTATTGGTCACACATAGATTGTTTACTTTTCAGTACCTCATCGATCTAACCCTAACCCTAACCCTACTGTTTTAGTTGGGGAAGGGGTTCGTGCGCAGTTGCTCAGCCGCTGTCGTTAATCCAAGATTATGTAAAGAAATGCAAGAGGATATTTGGCTGAGAGAGTTTTCTTCGACTTCCCAAAGTTACTGAAATTACAAACACTTTGATGTAAATATCTACTAAAGCCTTTCACTCTCATGAGTTATCAGTGTATCAGCACTCTTTGAACCGTCAAACAGAAAGGCAAGCAGCACACGTATGACTGATTTGTGGTTATCATCCCAGTAAGGACAACATATTAACCTGTCAATGCATTTAGCTCCATCCGGCATGTTAGGTGCTGCAGGGCACTGGGCACTCTTCCCGTCACAGTAAGTGCTGCCTTTACAGGTGGTTGGATCAGCTTCACGACACAGAATTCCCGTGGAATTGTTGTACAAACAGTCCTTGCAGCACGGTGAGTCATAGCCATCACTGTATGAAAAAACATGCACCTTCACTAACAACACCAGGCATAAACTCACTGTCTCCCTTTACATCATCATTGCACATAAGCATCACATCCTCGTAGTATGCAGGAAGTTTGTCTCTATGGACCTTGTTAAACGACTCTTCTAAAGCTCCGTGGTAGAGCATCCGAAGTGCTAATTGGAGGGTCCTAGGTTCGACTCCTATTGAGAGCACTCGGAGTTCTTTTTCCCAGACTATGCCTGTGTCATTCACTGAAAAACATCTTCTTTAACAAATTAATTGTGGATATTCCAGTAAAAAGAATTCTCTGCTTAAAAATTTTATTCAATCACCGAACTTAAATTTTTTTTTACTTCACAATTTTTAGAATGTTCCACACTCCCTTTGCATAATTCTTTCCACCGGGTTTCGAAATTAACAATTTTTCACACTTTCATTTTGCATGTTTCCAGCCTTGTGCTTGTACATTTTAGTTTTTTAAGAATGTAGACTGAAGCTGAAAGCTCAAGTTTTCTGAAATTTTAAACCAGAGATCAACAAGATCGAAGTGGAAAAGTATAAATAACAAGGTTAAGAAACTCGGAACACAAACCTGCAGAGAGCTGAGTCCTTCAGCTTGCAGTTTGCGGTACAACATTGGCTTTCCTGTGCACCTATGCCACCGGGATCACATTCTTCCTCTTTTTCTTTCTTGTAATTACCACAGATTTCAGCCCTTGGTTCTGTGTTGGAACAGATCATACAGTTAGGTGGTAAGCATGTACAATCACAACTTGCATTGGTATTCTCATGTAAGCACGCCTTAGGGGTCAAACATTATTCACTTGGGTAAAAATTCTCTCAGATGCTGAACCTATCATCACAATGTCGTTTCACTTTTAGGCTGATTGTAAGTGAATTCAGATAAACAAGCCTCATTCTGCTGCAACTATTGAACTAGTACAACAGTTTCCTCTACATGTGCAGCCTGCCGTGGGTGACAGCCTTAGAACTGACGCATATATCACTCTCGTGTAAATGAAATAAATTATCTTTTGACGAGTAGATGATGCCAGATAACAAAATGTCTACATATGCGAACTGCACCTGAAAAAACTGCCCAAAAAAGAGCTTGAAAATTCAGACTTCGCCGTGTTTCAAACCCGTGCTTCCGGAATACAAGCTGGGCGGTACAACCAACCGAGCTTCGAACTATCATGTTCCCAGCGGGTAAATTCCTTTGTCCTTCGACAAAGCATCGAAACCATGTAAAAACCTGAATTTTTTCCCAAGCATCTTTTTCTGAAATTTCCTCGACTACCAGTGAGGATCATTTCGTTATTTTCCATAAATTCCTTGAAATGATAGATCTCAATGTTACATACCGTAGAAACAGGACGACTTGGATTGTAAGACATTTAGAATCCTCCGCTTACTGCATGGAGAGAACAGCTGTAAAGTAAATCAAAGACTGTAAAATTTTAATGAAATCACAGCCAAAATACCGTGTTTCCTCGAATAAGCACCCGGGCGCCTATCGAAATTTTGGGCTTAAAGGGAAGGCGCTTAAAACGTTTTCCCTTCTGTAAGTTTATTTTGGCTAACTCTTTAAAACAAAAACAACAACAACATTATCCGCGTAGACATACAGTCAATATGGAGATAGAAATAACTGCAAGTGATTCCGCTGTAGTTGAAGCTTAAAAAGTTTTAAATTAGGTGTCGACAGAAACAATTATTTCTTGTAGCCCTACTCATGTAAGAAAGTAAGGGAGGAGAAGGGCGCCTATTCGAGAGTGGCGCTTCTTTGACATAATGGCCGAGGGGGTGGGTGCCAATTCAAGGAAATAAGGTATGATAGCCTATGTAAATTGAAACCATGGTTCATTAATTTCCATCACGTGGACGCATTGGCAGCATTGCAGTCACAGCTTGACTATAGACTACACGCATTTAAACGACTACAGTTTATAAGCCTTTTTCAAGGAGTATCTGAGTGATTCAATTCTCGATTTCTTTTCCATTCATTGCCATCTCCACCATATTCCATTATGTGGTCCGCTAATATGGGCCAACGGTTGAGCTGAGAAGCAATAGCACTCAGTTTGATTGTGTATCTGTTTATCAGTTACTCAAGCTGTTAAATTACAGTGAAGCGTCTGTGTACCTTGTTGTTTCTCCACTGTCCACTGACAGAGGCAGGATACATGATAAATTTTCCTCCATTAGATTCTGGTGGAGCACATTCTGTTGTCTCTGGGTCATGTTCGCTGCCAAAATTGTGTCCTGAAGAATGAATAAGCAGTGGTGCACATCAAATAAAACGCTATCATATTATATGATGATTGGTTGGATCCCCTCCACAGTTAGCCTTTGAGAGCATGACATCATGTTAGTATGACAAGTTCAAATGCCATAATTTGTGTTTTTCTTTCGGTTAGAATACTTATGAACTAACAATTTACACCCAGAGGTTTAATCGACAATAAGAAAAAAATGGAAAAGCTGATAAATCATGTGAGCCATTTGTCAGAGCAAACACTGAGTCGGTGTTCTTGGAGTACGTCTTTTTCTCAGAGAAGTGCTAAACCAAACTCAAGGCGCTTTATTGTCCTTAATTAACTTGTGGCAGATGAAAATTTTTTTTGACACTAAAGCCGAACTAGACCACTGTTTTTATACCTGTAATTTACACTTGGCTCCATACCAGGTGCATGAAAAATTCCCATAGTACAAACAGGTGTAAGGTTGCATAATGTTTTACTAAGATCTCCTATACAGAGAAGTATCAAGGATTCATCGTATACTACACTTACCAATTTCTTTCATCATTGAGAGTAATCCATCAGACATAAAACAGAAAAGACAACAATAATAGAATTAAAATTATTGAAGGTGATAGTGAACATTTTGACACCAATTAACAAATGAATGTCTTTCTAAAGAGTTAAGAAACCAACCAAGTGTGACATAAGCCTATTAACTCATGCAACGTAATATAAATAGGCAGGCCTGATAAATAGGCAATAAGGTACTTCACTAATTATTTCATGCAGACTGAGACTGTGGCACCAGCTGGTTAGAATGTAATATGTAATTGAGACATCTCAAATGAATGACATAAATAGAAGGTTGTTCATTCAACAAATAACATACCACATTTTCTATACTTCGTTCCCAGTAATAACTTGTTAGCCAACAAATATCAGGGACTTTTCCAGGACTGGAACTGATTTTTCCAGGACTCCAAATTTCACCTTAAACCCCTCCATTCCCAAGAGTTCAAAATCAATTCTCCTTACAGCCTACAATAATATCTTGCTTGAGTTAAGCACCTGCAGCCTTTTTACAGGACTTTCCAGTCCTGGAAAATGTCAAAATAAAATTCAAGGCTTTTCCAGGTTTTCCAGGAACTGTGCAAACCCTGCCAAGGGCATACATTGATGACTTTTAACACTTTCTGGTTATCAAACAGCAGTATAGTGCCAAAATTTAAGGCATGTAACTTAAGTGTGCCAAACTAACAAACTGAAAGGGAATAAACTTGTTTGCAGTGTACATGGAGTTTAGACCAAATAAAAAATTGTTTAACAGTTTCTGTACCATGAGCAGTAACAATGTCAGCCTCTTCTGTAAGGAGTTTTCTGCCCCAATTAATACTGCTACTTAGTCCAGTGTTCAGGTACAACCATCGATTATTTGTGAAATACCCTAAACACCAAAAATAGAACGTTATCAGAATATCTGACTAACTGGACCAATGCAAGGGGTAACCACATTTTCATTGCAGTCATATGTCATCTCCTTTCCAGTATTTTGCATTGTAGACATTTTGTCACAGATAGTTCATTTTCAGAAAGCATATGTGTCCATCTTTGTGCAATTTACTAATTAAAAACTAAATCAAAAAAGTCAAAGTGCAAATAAATTTATTCTCTGAATTAAAGTTTAATAAGCAGATGTACCTTAAATTCAGTCCTACAGTACTTTTTCAGAAGTTATTAGATCCTGCAGAGTTTTAGATCTACCTTTGGTGTGTTAACCACAAACCTCAAACTGCAGTTAGGGGTTTGAGGTTAGAAGTTATAAGTTTTTAAGATTTCAACCTTTATGATCAACGTCACCTTTCACCTGACAAAAGCCATCACAACTAACATGTGTGCTACCATCTTGAATTACAAAAAGCATGAAAGTCCTTCATTTCAAACACATAACGTAGCAAGAAGTTTGGTTTTGGTCTACCAAAAAGAAGAGACCTCATCTCACATATATTTACAGGACATGCGTGAGAACTTTCAAACAGGAAGAAGAAAAGCACCACCCAAAACTGCCTTGCCCTAAGCTCAAACATGAACAGCAAATGGGTAACTTGTGACTCCTAGCGGTCTGCAGTAACACATACCCAGAAAAAAACATGGATCTAAAACTCTTTAGCACAGACAGGAGCATTGGGGATTATGTTTTATTTAAGTTTGTTTGTAAAAATGTTGTTGCAGGTACATTACTTTTTGTACAGATTCCTCCCACAGCATTGCTCTTAGGATTACCAACATAAGCCAGGCCAATGACACCATCAGCAAAGTCTTGGTAAGTAAACAGATGTGCAAGGCAGTATTGAAGCCATTCTTCATTCCGACTGAATGCCTGACAAATATAATATAGCTCTGCATTGAAATGAACTAAAAATACCCTACACTGAACATGAAGGACAAGATAAGTTTAGGGGGTGGGAAACTTTTACAGAAAAATTTCAAGTTCTGTTCACAAATTACAGATTAAGTTTCTCCCAACTATGAAGAGAGGGAAAAAAAAACAGTGATGCATGAATATCAGAATGGACTAAGAAGATTCTGTTTGCAAGATTTTATCAGCACAATTGTTGTGGGACCACATAATAATACCTTCATCAAGAAACTTTGTAAAAATTTATAGTTTAGAAAATAATCTAAATCATCTTTGCCTTTTCCTCCCAGAAAACCAAAAGGATGACTTAAAACTAGTTAGACTTGCAACTCACAACTACATTGTCACATAACTTACATTGAGAAGTTTCTTGATTTCCCATGGATTGCTGGCACTTGTGTCCTTGTTATAATGGTCTGTTTCTCTTGTAGGTGTCTCGTGGACTAACACCTGTGAATGGATAAGCTCCAGATTATGAACAATACACTATTCAGTTGCAAACTAAAGTTTGTTAAAGAGTAGGCTTCTATCTGCAGGTAGCTTATACCAAACTACTCTACTAAAACAAATTAAAATAATTTTTCTATTGATAGAAACAAATTACCAAAACGATTTACAATGCAATTGCTCACATTCTTTGTAACTCACAAAAGAAACAAAAGAAATATATGTGCAGCGGTAAAACACATGTTATACTAATACTGAGTGCACCCTTAACTGCTGTCTACCAACTTTTTCATACAGAGAATTTGAGTAAGATTGAGTAATAACAAAGTAACTTACAATGTACTAAATTACTGAGAGTATTTAGGTTAGGAAGGCACACAGGGCCACCAAGGCTGTCAGTCTTACTCCAAAGTAGATGTTAATTACTTACCACTATATCTACATACAAGTAAATCTAAAAGAGTATTCTCTGATTCTACATGGCACACATGCTTGTGTCCATCTCATACATTACATTCAGAGCAGCATAACAGTCACAATCAGCCATAATCACACACTTAGACAACATCTTGGTTGTAAAGTTCTATTGTGGACAATTGATTCTGGGTTTCAAGATATCTATTTTAAGCTTTAAACAATATAATATCAAGCAGAAAAGAGATGGGAACAAATAAAATATCAATTAATAATGATAATAGGACTGAATGGAGTCCAATTCTGTCTATAATCGTACAGGTGTGTAACAAAATCAGATGACCACAAAGAGGTCTGATCTGTTTATCACAAGTATAAATTACAGACAGAATTGGACATGAAGTCCTGTTACCAATTAATCAAAACTATGACAACATTTGAGAAACTAAAAACTGGCTATGGATGTTTTCATAGAGAAAAAAAAACAACAATTAACTCTGCGAGAACATGATGCATTCTGTCCACTTACACAAGCATGACAGGTTAACTGTCCCTTAAACTGTCCTATTAGGAGTTCTATTACACTGTCCAATTACAAGCATGACGCATACTCTGTCCTATTAGTGCTCAAATTGAGTGGGTGATGACCAGTCACATTCAAGAATTTTGTCATAGTTTTGATTAGGATTATTAGCTGATCCAACACCAAATTCTCTGAACTAATGACATAAGAATTGTATGGGAGCCAGTAAGGGGATTTACTAATGATATCTTGGGAGTGAATGGGTAAAGACCTTAAGAGTCATAACATATATTTGATACTTTTTGAATTTCAAATCCATATCCTTTGTATTCCTCTGACCATGCAGTTCTTTGAAAAATGGAATCCACTCTGTCTATTACACCAATCTGTGTGTACAGAAAACATAATTGCTATTAATAAACATTTATAAATAAATCACAAGGAAATGTCAAGTTGAATCAGATCTCAGCTTTTCAACAAATTAAAATCATTCAATCCTGCAAGTGTCTAATTTGGATAACATGGAACAATGTTATATTCACCTGGAACAGCTTAGGGAAAAGATAGATATCTCCACACAACATATACCTTGCTTGAAATCATTTCCTTAAATTTTCAAAATTATACCCCAGGTTTCCTGTTCTTCAAATCACACATTTGCCTGGATTGAGCAGCAGATGTTAAGATCTTGTCCAAGTAAGTTAAAGTATTGGAAACTTTTCCGTATTTTTCTCTTCACCATCTTGTTCTCCAATAGTGACTCAATCATATTAACGTCAACATCAGTATCGTTATTTTTTCACAAGACACTGAGATTACATTTTTTGAAAAATCAAAAATGATTTTTATGCCTATGACTGTTTTGACTTACCATATAATTGATGGTTTGCTTCGTATCTCCCCGACCCATTTCAGTAAAGAATCGATAGTCAGCAACCAGTGCAAGGCGACATCTTATCCTTGTTGGAGCAGCACGTCTTTTTCTCTTAGAATATGTACCCTGTGCTGATAATACAACAACACATATTCAATTTCAGGAGCTATACCCTTTTCAGGTTAGTCCATTTTTTTCATATTTTCAACTCTTTTTCAAGAAGTACTCAAAGCAATAACCTCCTGACTGCCACCATGTATTCCCCATGGAAACTGAAACTGCTAACAAAAAATCAGTGCAAAACTCAGATCTAATTAACATTGCTGGTTACAGTTTACAGTGGTCACCCTTCATTGGCTTTTTTCCTGGAAAGCAACCACAACATTTCATCTATTTTTTGTACTCACAGTTAGCCAAGTTTCACAATAATAATACTCCCTACATGTCTGAACTGTTCAGTCAAGAAATTGCCCCTATGAATTGTTACTGACTTAGCTTGCCACATAAATACAGCACTCACCATGGCTATCTTCTTCATCTGCATAAAGCACAGGAGAATGATGTGAATCATGTCCACAAAAACTGAATTTTTTCTTCCTAAAAAATTGTATTTAAAAAAAACTTAGTAAATCTAACAAGGAAGTTCAAATTCTCATGATTAAATAAGTAAACAACATTCTACTCCTTGCTCCTGTAAACATGTTTCCTTCCTGAATGCATTCAATCAGCAAAGAGTAATTGACATAAATGCTTATTATAGGGTTCATTAATTTAAAAAATTTTTCAAACTTTAGAATTGAAAAATTCGCTCAGTGCATACTTTAGGTGAGGAAAAGTGATCATGAATCAGTACACCCAGATAAAACTTTTAATTAGTATGACAAAACTTAATTGTTTGATCAAATATGGAAAATAGAAGGTCAAAGAATCTGACATGGAACATACATGTATATACAAATTATGTGATTCATTCCATGTTTGTGGACATTTTTTACTATTTATAGTGTTTTTCAACTTACACATTAGGCTCCTGGCCTTGGGCATTTGTTATATTGGATTTCACATCAGAATGTCTGTAAGATATCATCTGATCCTGGCTAGAGCCAGCAATATGTCGCCATGCTGGCTACAAAACAAAACAAAAACAACAATAATATACTACTAGTCTATCGAATAAAATTCATAATCTGTGCTTTTCACAAACTGGCCTCATCAAAGAGATTAAAACATCCTAAGTAATAACCCCTAGTGGTAAGCAGTTCCAAGGGAAGACTCCACTCAATTATGAGTTGATATCAAATTAGCTGGATTTATCTGGTATAAACTGCAACACATCCTGGCTTGTCAAACTCTATGGGTAATGAGTCATTCTGAAATCTTATTAGCTCCCTGGAGAATATCAATGGCCTAGACAAACATTTTTTAAAAGTAACATCTTGCAAGCTTAGAACCGAAATGTTATCATCACATGTTTTTTTAATTCATATGTTATTAACTGTCAGTATCTTATCTGAGACAGCTGCATTGTGTTTTTTTTCAGTGCTCAGTCTGAGTATGAAATAGATCAGAGACTATTAGAACACTACAAGATGATCGTGTAAGAGATCTATGTGAACCCTTTGTTTGGGTTGAGTATACAGAATTGCTTTAATTCTGCAGACTTAAAAACTCCTTGTTCCTGATTATATATTAAAAACATTGAGAGGCCCCATTTGAATTTGCCACAATGTAAATTAAAATGTTATTACACAAAATAAGAACTTCAAAAACAAAAATGAACAGAGGGGTCTATCAGCAAATGATACCGGCATACTTGGAGAGAAAGAATGCCAAGAGTTCCCAATAGGAGTCACACCTGCAATCATCCTGATGGGAGCATTAGAGTTTTTTTTCCTCCAAGTATACTTGTGTCAGTTACAGATCAACATCACTGTTCACTTAAAATCACCAGGCTTAAAATTAACCATCTTCATTTATATCAAAAGCAATAAAGTTCACTGACATGAAAATCACAGTTTGTACCTCAACAATGTAAATGTCATCCTTTGTTGCAATAGAAGCTGTAATGATTC